GAACTGGATAGGTGGAGGTTGCCCCATGAGCGAGCTATCCCACTTGCACTCAGCCTGGGGCGCACCCGGATCATCTCAGAAAAAGAAAAAAAAAGAAAAAGGAATTGGGCGGGATGGGTGGCTCAGCTGTAATCCTAACTTTGGGGGCTGACGGGTCACGATGTGGGGATCGAGACCGATCCTGGCAGTGGTGAAGTCTCCTAAAATTACAAAAAAACTAGCAGGGAAGGTGGTGGCACTGTGTCACAGTTTTGGGAGGTGAGGTAGGGGAAGAATGGCGTGAACCGGGAGGCGGGCTTGCGCAGGTGAGCTGAGTTCCCGGCCGCTGCAGCTCGAGCGCTGGGCGAAGAGAACTCGCCGTCTCAAAAAAAAAATTAAAAAAAAAGGAATTGATTCTCCGACAGTCCCGGGGACTGGAAGTGGAGTCACAGGTGTGGGGAGGGTTTGTTCCTCTGAGGCTGTCTGCTGGGCTTTGGCGAGCGTACTTCTCCCTGTGTCTACAGTGGTCGTCACTCTGTTGTATATCTTGTTCCTCATCTCTTTTTATCAGGTGTTGTCCCATCAGGCCTCATCAAAGAGTACAGCTAACTGGGTGATATAAAAATGCCATTGATTCTCCACAGTCCTAGGGGCTGGAGAGATTCCACGGTGTGGGCAGCTGGTTCATCTGCGGCTCCTTTCTGGGCCTTGAGACGCGAGTCTTTCCTGTGTCTCCGCTCGTCCCCTCTGTGTGTTGTCTGTGCCTCATCTCTCTTTAGCATCAGTCCCCTGGTATTACAGCCTCCTAGTGGACTATTTTCTTCTTTGTTGGGTGGTACTCATATTTGATTAGGCCACTCAAAACAAAGGTACATTCTGAGGTTCTGACGGGCTCGCGGCTTTGAAACGCGCATTTTGAGGAGACACAATTTCGCCTATGCACGGGTCTTTGCAGACTGCATAAGTGAAAGATTGAAGGTGATCAGGTCCCCTCATCGACAGGGTGATGTTGCGGCCGATGTAGAAAGGATTGGAAGCAGACCTGCGCCATCTGTGATGGTCTTTGCAAGATCCTTAAGGGTTCTTGAGTATCATCGTGACAGTAGGATTGGCTAATTCCAATGACAGTGGCCTTCAAGAGACAGAAGAGGGAGACACAGCACAGAGGATGGCCATTGTTGTATGGTGAGGTCAGAGATGAGTAATGCGCCTCACAAGCCCAGGGATGCCTGGGCCACAGGAGCTGGGAGAGTCAGGAATGTGGCTCGAGCCTATCGAAGGGACTGGTGATCAAATGTGATGGTTGAATGGTGCCAGAAATAGTGTTCTTCTCACGAAAAACTATGGAATTTTATATATTTGCAACAGGGTTTCTGCATGTACAAAATGTTACGGATCTTGAGATGAGATCTTCACTGATGGGATGGGCAGTAAATGAATAGACAGTGTGTCTTCTGAGAGACCGAAGAGGAGACCAGAACAGAGGGAAGCCACATGGAGACGGAGGCAAGACTGGAGTGTGATGCGCCACAAGCCAAGGGAACCTGGAGGCCCCAGGAGCTTGGGAGAGGCGGAAGGATCCTTACCCCCCTAGAGCTCTAATGAAGGAACTGGATACAACTGTGATGGGTTGAATTGGTGTGGCCCAAACGTATGTTTGTCTACACAGAACCAAATGAATGGGATTTTATTTTTGATAGGGTCTGCATAGGTAAAATAGATAAATAAGGATTCTTGATATGAAGATCATCTTGAAAATGGGCATGGCAAAATGAATGATGGTGTCTTGACCCTTGTAAGAGACAGAAGAGGAGCCAGTACACAGGGGAGGAGGCCCGTTGGAGCGGAGGGCAGAGACAGGAGTGGATGCGGGCCAAGCCAGGACTGCTGGAGCTCAGGGGCTGGAGCGCGAGGAAGGTCCTCCCCTGGGCCTGTGCAGGGAGAGCCCTGCCTCACTGGATCTTCAGATTAGTCTCCAGGACCAAATGAATAAACTCTGTTTTTTTGTTTGTTTGTTTGTTTTGAGACGGAGTCTCACTCTGTTGCCCAGGCTGGAGCACAGTGGTGAGATCTCAGTTCACTGCAGACTCTGCCTCCCGGGTTCCCGCCATTCTCCTGCCTCAGCCTCCTGAGTAGCTGGGACTACAGGCGCCCGCCACCAGGCCTGGCTAATTTTTGCATTTTTAGTAGAGACGGGGTTTCACCCTGTTAGCCAGGATGGTCTCGATCTCCTGACCTGGTGATCCGCCCGCCTCGGTGTTATTCCAAGGCCCAGGGGGTGTCTGTCAGTGGGATGACCTTGTTTCCCCTCCACGTCTCCTCTCGTGAATAAGATTAAGGTGTGAGGTCACCATCAGGTTCAGGCTCCTTTTGCAGGTCACAAACTGGGGGAGTGAATCTCCTCTCCTTTGCAGGCAGAACACCAAGAAACAATGAAGAACTGGTGACCCGTAGAGGCAGGCGGGCGGGGGGTGGCCTGTGTTTCCGTGACCCAGGGTGGCGCGCCTGGCTTCCACTCACCCGTGAGGGAGACAGGAGGGGCAGGCCCCGCTCACCCCACTCTCCCCACTCACCGAAACGCTGGGGGGTGCTCCAGGCACTCAAGAATTCATACACTGTTTCCCGGGCTCTTATTTGCACTGTGTACGTTCCAGGATTGGGTAGCTGGAAGGAGGTTGTGTCTCTGACCTGTGGTTTAAAAGAAAATAAAGAAGGAAAGAGGGGCCGGGTGTAGCGGCTCAGGCCTCTCACCTCAGCACTTTGGGAGGCCGAGACAGGTGAATCACCTGAGGTCAGGACTTGAAGACCAGCCTGGCCAACGTGGTGAAACCTTTTCTCTACTAAAAATACAAAAATTAGCCGGGTGTGGTGGCAGGTGCCTGTAGGCCCAGCTACTCTGGAGGCTGAGGCAGGAGAATCACTTGAACCTGGGAGGTGGAGGTTGCAGTGAGGTGAGATCGTGCCACTGCACTCCAGCCTGGGTAACAGAGACTGTGTATCAAAATAAGAAAAGAAAGAAAGAGAGAAAGAAAGAGAAAGGAAGGAAAGAAGGAGAGAAGAGAGAAAGAGAAGAAAGAGGAAGAAAGGAGGGAGGGAGGGAAGGAGAAAAAAGGAAAGGGAGGGAGGCAGGGAAAGAGAAAAGAAAAAAAGGAAAAGAAAGAAGAGGGGCTGGGCACTATGGTTCATGCCTCTCACCACAGCACTTTTGGAGGCCGAGGTGGGAGAATTGTTTAAGCCCAGGAATTTGACACCAGCCTGGGCAACATAGCAAGACCCTATCTTTACTGAGAAAAAAAAAAAATGTAAAAATTAGCAGACATGGTGACACACGCCTTTGGTCCCAGCTACTGGGGAGGCTGAGGTGGGAGGATACTGTGAGCCTAGGAGTTTGAGACCAGCCTAGACAACAAAACCCATCTCTACAAAAAAATTTTTTTGTTTTGTTTTGAGATGGAGTTTCACTTTTGTTGCCCAGGTTCGAGTGATTCTTCAGCCTCAACCTCCCGAGTAGCTGGAATCACAGGCGTGCACCACCACGACCGGCTAATTTTGTATTTTTAGTAGAGACGGGGTTTCTCCATGTTGGTCAGGCTGGTCTGGAACTCCCGACCTCAGGTGATCCGCCCCCCGCCTCAGCCTCCCAAAGTGCTGGGATTACCGGCGTGAACCACCACGCCCAACCAAAAATATGCTATGCTATGCTATGCTATGCTGTTCTATGCTGTTCTATGCTATTCTATGCTATGCTATTCTATTCTATGCTATTCTATGCTATGCTATTCTAGTCTATGCTATTCTATTCTATGCTATTCTATTCTATGCTGTTCTATGCTATTCTATGCTATGCTATTCTATTCTATGCTATTCTATTCTATTCTATTCTATTCTATTCTATTCTATTCTATTCTGTTCTATTCTATTCTGTGCTGTTCTATGCTATGCTGTGCTATGCTATGCTATGCTATTCTGTGCTGTTCTATGCTGTGCTATTCTATGCTATTCTATGCTATTCTATTCTATGCTATTCTATGCTATGCTATTCTATGCCGTTCTATGCTGTTCTATGCTATGCTATTCTAGTCTATGCTATTCTATGCTATGCTATTCTATTCTATGCTATGTTATTCTATTCTATTCTATTCTATTCTATTCTATTCTATTCTATTCTATGCTATTCTATTCTATGCTATGCTATGCTATTCTATTCTATGCTATTCTATTCTATGCTGTTCTATTCTATTCTATTCTATTCTATTCTATTCTGTTCTATTCTGTGCTGTTCTATGCTGTGCTGTGCTATGCTATGCTATGCTATGCTATTCTGTGCTGTTCTATGCTGTGCTATTCTATGCTATTCTATTCTATGCTGTTCTATGCTATGCTATTCTATTCTATGCTGTTCTATGCTATGCTATTCTATTCTATGCTATGCTATTCTATGCCGTTCTATGCTGTTCTATGCTCTGCTATTCTAGTCTATGCTATTCTATGCTATGCTATTCTATTCTATGCTATGCTATTCTATTCTATTCTATGCTATTCTATTCTATGCTATTCTATTCTATGCTGTTCTATTCTATTCTATGCTATGCTATTCTATGCTATGCTATTCTAGTCTATGCTGTTCTAGTCTATGCTATTCTAGTCTATGCTGTTCTATTCTATTCTATTCTATTCTATTCTATGCTGTTCTACTCTATGCTGTTCTATGCTATGCTATTCTATTCTATGCTATACTATGCTATTCTATTCTATGCTGTGCTATGCTGTGCTGTGCTGTGCTATGCTATGCTATGCTATGCTATGCTATGCTATGCTATGACAGAGCCTTGCTCTGTCGCCCAGGCTAGAGTGCAGTGGCGTGATCTCAGCTCACTGCAAGCTCTGCCTCCCAGGTTCACGCCATTCTCCTGCCTCAGCCTCCCGAGTAGCTGGGATGACAAGTGCCTGCCACCTCGCCCGGCTAGTTTTTTTGTATTTTTTAGTAGAAACAGGGTTTCACCGTGTTAGCCAGGATGGTCTCGATCTGACCTCGTGGCCCGCCTTGGCCTCCCAAAGTGCTGGGATTACCGGCGTGAGCCACCGTGCCCAGCCCCAAAGTTTTTTTAAATGAACTGACATGGTGGCAAACACCTGTAATTTCAGGTACTCAGGAGGCTGAGGCAGGAGGGTCCCTTGAGCTCAAGAGGCAGAGGTTGCAGTGAGCCGTGATTGTGCCACTGACCTGCAGCCTGGGTGACACACTGAGAGCCTGTCTCAAATTAAAAACCAAAAAGTAGAAGAAAAAACCATTCATATTTGGTGGGTACAAAAGAATGAGGCTGCACTGTGATCCCGCAAACTTCGTATGATACAGTCTTAGCCCCCAGCACCTTTCAGTGGGGCCTTATGATGAAATAGCTGTTCATGGCAGATGTCATGAAGATGGAAATGGAGATGATGTCATTTTGGATTAGGGTGGGCCCTAAATTCTATGATCGATGCCCTTATAAGAAGAGGAGACACGGCCAGGCGCAGTGGCTCACGCCTGTCATCCCAGCGCTTTAGGAGGCTGAGGTGGGCGGATCACCTCAGGTCAGGAGTTCGAGGTCAGCCTGAGCAACAAGGTGAAACCCCGTCTTTACTAAAAATACAAAAAACTAGCCGGGCGAGGTGGCGGGCACCTGTAGTCCCAGCTACTTGGGAGGCTGAGGCAGGAGAATGGCGGGAACCCGGGAGGGGGAGCTTGCAGGGAGCTGAGATCCGGCCACTGCACTCCAGCCTGGGTGACAGAGCGAGACTCCATCTCAAAAAAAAAAAAACAAAAAAGAGACACAGATGCAGAGAAAAAGGCCATGTGGAGACGGAGGCAGAGAGTAGAGTGATGTGGCCACAAGCCCAGGGACCCCTGGAGTCCCCAGGAGCTGGGAGAGGCAAGAAGGATCCCCATTCGTCCGTGAAAATGGACTAATACAGGGGGACAGAGACAGAGATAGAGAAACAGACAGAGAGACGGAGGGAGAGAGAAAAACAGAGACAGAGAGAGTGGGTGATGGAGTCTGGCTGTGTCCCCACCCAGATCTCATCTTAAATTCTAGCTCCCATAATTCTGACGTGTTGTGAGAGGGAGCGGGTGGGAGATAATTGAATCATGGGGGCAATCTCCCCCATACTGTTCTCAGGGTAGTGAATACGTCTCACGAGCTCTGATGGTTTAACAAGGGAAACCCTTTCTCTTGCCTCTCTTTTTTTTTTTCTCCAGACAGCTTTGCTGTCACCGAGGCTGCAGTGCAGTGGCGCGATCTCAGCTCACTGCAACCTCCGCCTCCCGGGTTCATGCCATTCTCCTGCCTCAGCCTCCTGAATACTCCCGAGTAGCTGGCACTACAGGCATACACCACCACACCCAGCTAATATTTGTATTTTTAGTAGAGACGGGGTTTCACCATGTTGGCCAGGCTGGTCTCGAACTCCTGAC